GCTGGACCATGCTTAGCAATCTTAAGTCCAGAAATGTCATGGTTAGTCATGGCTCTCTTAAACAAACTTGACAGTCCCTCAGAGACTAGTAAAAAGATGTAAGGAGACAGGGGGTCTCCTTGCCTAATGCCTCTTGTAGGTGTAACCAAACCTCTTTTTTCCCCATTCAAATTAAAAGAGTACACAACAGAAGACATACACTTCAAAATCCAGTTCCTCCACTTTTGACAAAAACCCATTTTTTCCATTACTTTTTGCACAAAACTCCACTCCACTCTATCATAGGCTTTGGCCATATCAAGCTTCAAAGCCATGAAAGCGTTTGATCCACATCTTCTATTATTCAAACAATGGATGAATTCATGTACAATAACAACATTATCAATGATTTGTCTACCTAGAATAAAGCTGACTGGTTTGGCTAACACAGTGTTTTAGGAGAGGCTTAAGTCTATTGACCAAGATTTTAGAGATTATCCTATAGACTACATTACACAAGCTAATGGGTCTAAACTGAGAAACAGAAACTGGAGACTTAATTTTAGGAATGAGAGTGATAATAGTTTCATTGACAGCCTTCAGCAAATGCCTAGAATGAAAGAAACTGCCTAGAATGAAAGAAACTAGAAATGACACTTACTAAATCATTTTTTAGTACACTCCAGAACTGTTGGAAGAAAGCAGGAGTCATGCCATCAGGACCAGGAGCTTTGTTGGATTGCAAAGAAAAAACAGCTTTTCTGACTTCCATTTCTGATACAAGTCTAGCCAGCATAGCATTCATTTGGTCTGTGATTACCCGAGAGATCCCACTCAGTACTAGCTCAACCTGTTGGGGATTAGTGGAAGTAAACAAATCCTGAAAGTATCCATTGATTTCTTCCTCAATATCTGGCTCATAATCACACCAATATCCATCTCCTCTTTGCAAACCTAATATATTATTCCTTCTCCTCCTCTTAGTAACACTAGCATGGAAAAACTTTGTATTCTTATCACCATCCTTCAACCATTTGACTCTAGCTTTCTGCTGCCAGAACACCTCCTCTCTCCTATAGGCCTCTTCCAGTTTCTTCTTAATCTCTCTCACCCTCCCAGTCTTATTGGCTTGACCATCTTCATTAGCCTCTATGATCTTCTGTTTCAGCTCTACAATCTCTTTTTTTTTTTTTTACATTTTTACCTTTTTGTTTATTCCAGTTCAGAAGAGCAACTCTGCAATTCCTAATTTTTTGATGCAGTTTAAAAAATCTAGATCCCTCCTGCTGTTTCTCCCATTCCTTAGAAACAATCTCTCCCACTTCCTTATTATTGATCCAATTGCTATCAAAATAGAACCTCCTTTTCCATTTCCTACCCTTTGGTTCAGTGTCTAGTAGCAGCATAACATGATCAGAAGCATTATTTTGTATATGTAAGCACTTAGCCTTCTCATTCTCACTTTTCTACTGTTTACTGCATAGAATTCTATCCGAACGTTCCTTAACTTCCCTCCCTTCCTCCCAATTATTTGACCATGTCCATGGTATCCCTTCAAAACCAATGTCAACCAGTTGATTAGTGTTTACAAAGTCCCTAAAAATCTGAAAACTACTATCAGGCCTCCTACTATCCCCCACTTCTCATCATTAGACAGACTATCATTCATGTCACCTGCCAACACCCATTTCTGACCCTACCCACTCATCCTATCTTCTATAATCCTCCACTGTTTCTCTTTGATCAGATCCTCACTACTAGCATACAAACAAATCAGCCACCACCTGTCTCTAGCACCAGTCCTTTCTAGCAAAACTTCAATGGTAAAGTCAGTACAAAGAATCTGACAGACCTTCAAATCATTTCTCCACATCACAGCCATCTCACCAGCTATACCAATTGGATCCACCACAACCATACTATCATATCTTAACTTTAATCTCACCTTATTCATAACTTCTTTTTTATTTTTGTTTATATTAAGAAAATCAACTCAGGGGAGTGGAGTTTGACACTCTCCTCTATCTGGGGAACTGTCAAGGGGCTCTCAACACCTCGACAGTTCCATACCAGAGCTCTCATTGGAACCTGGGAGCCCCATTAAGGTAGAACTCCACCACCTCAGATGCTAGCTCCACCCCAGCCATACTACACACAATCTTGCCTCTCTTCTGATTGTCCCCTTGTTCACTAATATTTTCCTTATCCATACTCTCACTCGGCTTCCTTTTACCTTCATTAGCTATGCCCATACTCCCATTCTTCTCCCCAGAGGGATTCTTCTACTTACCTCACGAACTAATCTCTTCGACCCTCTATTTCCCTTATACTTCCCCCATCTTAACTCTATACTACCATTCAGCTCCTGTTGTACTATCACAGGATCACTCCCCTTATCCCCTACATTCCTTCCCTTAGTATCAGTATCAATTCCATCAATCCACGTAGAATTAAAAGTTCTTCATCCTTCAACCCCCCTCGGGCCATCTTCCTGTATTTTTTCCTCAGTTGTGAAGATCAGTCCGCTTGTGGCTTTACTCTTTCCCTTAACAGCATCTCCCATCTTCTTATGATCAGGCTGCACACTTTCTTCCTTTATGACTTCCAACACTACTCCCTAGTCCCCACTCTTTTTAGTATCTTTTATTATTGCCCGTGGATCCCTCTCCTTTCCTCACTCCTTTCTACTACTGTATCAACATGTACCTCCACTAGCTTCCAGGGCAGACATAGTTGTTCCTGCCTCCTGTCCTCCCTCCTTAGCCAACTGTGGCCCTTCACCAACCTTACTCTCCTCCCTACTAAAAGTATTCTGTTTCCTAATAGGACTCCTCGCATTACTTGCTCTAAGCCAGGCTCCATACTGATTCGCCTTATCCATATTCACTCCTTTTTCCCTGTAACTCCGCTCATTATGCCCCATGACCCCACAGCAGTAGCAGAAGTCAAGGCATTTCTCATATTTGAATTCTATCTATCTAGTACTACCCTCAACTTAACAGTGGTTTCTCTCAGCATTGGCTTAGTTAAATCCATCTCAACCAGAATTTTTAAATGTTTCCCCTCCTTTCCACCACCATGAGGAATAATCACCTCCTTAACAGAGCTGAAAACTCCCCTAATTTTCCTACCAATGTCCTTGGTAATCCAGTGAATAGGTAAATTCCACAGCTGGACCCAAATCCAAGTCCTATTAAAAGCTTCAAGGTTCAGTTCTATCCCCTCCTCCCACGGTAACACAACCAAAGGCAGATTATCATAAACCCAAGGCGTACCCCTCAGCATCCTATCCATTTCTTGTTTATTACTGAAGCTAAACTGGAACATATTAACCCCTATCTCAACAACTCTTAGATTTCTGGCAAACGGCCACATATTATTTGTAAAGCTCCTTATACCAGCAATGTTTGCAGTCTTCTCCCCCACCACCCTACCAATAATACTCAATTGACATTCAACTACTCCTTGAGCCAGATCCTTACTATCTAAGACTACACCCTCCGCCTCCTCCTCTGTCAGAGCAAATTTCCTCAAAATTTCCTCCAGATCCTCAGTCATCTTGAACCAATACCAGTAAATTCCCAACTGATCACAGACCAAGCAAACACTACCCGCATCTTGACCAAACAGAAACATAGGCTACGAAAAGCAAAAGAAGCAACAAAGACCAGACGAAGAAACAAAAATAACAAAAACAGCCGATCAAACAGCACAACAGAAGGATTAGGAAAACTGGAAAGACAACACGAAGCTACTACTACTGCAAAGGAAACTGTCACCTGAAAGCAAAACTTAGATTGATGGAGAAAGAGTCTGAAAGTAGAAATTACGATCGAGCTGGAAGTTGGAAGCCAGAGAGCAAGCTCAGCAGAGCTCGAATCCAGCTTGGAAACTCGCAGAAGCCACAACCGATGACTCAAGTAGAAAAAGGACGACAATATCATGAAAATCAAATTATTCCACCGAATTCACCATTGGAGCAACCATCGATATGGATCAAGACGGAAGACTAGCATCAATTTGTATTGAAATGTATTTGTTTTTTGTAAATTGGACTAAGAAAGTACGGGAAATTTAAATTTGAAAAAGCAAGTTCACACACCCACAAAAGGTGAAGTTTGCTCCCTACGTAGAGAGAAAAAGTAACCACCTACAAGAGGGATGTAATGCATCCTATAGATGTATTGGTTTGGATGTAAGTTTCAAACGGTTATAATTTTGAATCATTATTATAGTAACAAGTAAAGGTAATTACTAATATGAAGAACTTGTATGGAATTTTGACAAACCACCCTGTTGTTTATTCTTATACTTCCTTCATATCAAATCAAATATTTCCATATTAAAATTTTAAAGTGTTTATATCTATGTTTGTATACATAGATAATTTCATTATGAATTTATGCAATTATATAAAATATCTATTTCATTCGAAACTCAATTGATAACCAAATAAATGCCAAAAAACAGAAAAAAAAATTTACCGTTCAATCAACTTAGCATTTTAAAGGATGTTTAATTGATTGCTTAGTTATCAAAATGAATGAAAGTTTGATATGATTAGATGAATTGTGCCAAATTTGACCAAGTATGCAAAAGAGCAGATATATGTTATAAATTAGTAGTATGTATAAATAAAATAAAGAAATAAAAAAGAAGAAGAAAAGTTTATATCAACACATTTAGTATGTATAGTACAATTTCAACCCTTTTTATGTCCAATTTCGTCCTAAAATCCCCGAAGATACCATTTGAAACTTAAGGGCTATAATGACTGAAATTTCAAACTTTGGGAACTATAATGAAAAGCCAAAATATTTGACTAATAGAAACTTGATTTTTACCGCTATGAATGGTTGAATTTCGATAAATTATCCTAAATTTGCTCAAAATTAGAAATTTTCGAGGCTACATTTGTTTTTATCAAAATATTATAGACTAGTTTGGCATACTAACTAAACATCGGAACTAAAACTGCATTTTTCTCTAAAAATTATGTAAGAAAATAATTGACAGCTATGTTTTTTCATCTGCACTAAGTACGTTTCAATCTTTAGCCTCTTTATGAAACAATCTGCCCATTCCTTTTCTTATAAACTAATTCTAACAATTTCTCTATTTTATTGTCAACTATTTCACTCCAGTAGCTTTACAACACAGTCGAATTGTCAGCAGGCAAACCAACATCTTGCCCTGGCTATTCATTTGGTTCAACAATTGCATAGGTACAACTCGGAGCACCTAAACAACCTCATCAGGCCTCAAAATTGCATTAGCTTGGCTGCATAAAACCCCCATTTTAAGCATATTGAATGCCTCTAGTATTGTAAAATCTCCTCCTACACAAGGGTCAATCATTTTGGCAACTCTAAGCAATTGTACCTGCATCCAACAATCAGCCATTTTTATTTTTATTTTTTTTGGTTAACGGCACTTGTCTATCCGACACCTACTTCTAGTCCAGCCTATTTTAAGGGAGAGGGCCCAAATTTTCAAGGCCTTGCTGCTGATCTCCAAATTTTCAACCTTGATGATGAACCCATGCTAAGGCAATCAAGGATGTAGTACAACAGCTTGTTATTGCGCTCAACACACTCCCTCTGGAACCTTGGACGGGGTCTGCAAAAGGTATCATATAAGTACTTGTCAGCGTCAAAATCCTGGGACAAATTGTGTCAAATGCAGATATGCTTTTTCAATATCTAGAAAAAGAAAAGACATGACTCATGCAATCTTTCATTACTATTCTTTACAACCTCCGGACATCAATCTATCCACATACCAGGTAAAAGCAAAGAAAAAAGACAAAAAATTGTAATTTGCTGATAAGAACAATATATACAAATACGTATCAGTGTGCTGTCACATGGTCACAAAAGAAATAACAACAGAGCTTAATGACAAATCTAAAATGAACTTTGCTGCTTCCCAAATCAAAACCAAACAGAGTTTCTAAGTGGAAAAATGAGATTAGAATGCAGAGGATACTATGCTAGGTCCATTAAGTCTAACAAGAGACTTGAGAGCAAGTTCAAACAATAATACAAAATTATCTCAGAACCGTACACACATAATCAAGAGAAACTTATCTGCATTATCCATTAAGTCTAATGAAACCATGAACTCACTGATTTGCAACTCTAGAAAGCATTTTATGGGCAACAAGACCCAAATTACGGCTTGCAAGCAAATAAGAACCACATGTGAATAATCCTTTTCCCGGATGACTGAATGGTAAAATTCATATGCCAAGTAACAACCTCATTGGAAATTGAAGCATGGTCAGGAGAGAAAATCAGAACCTGTGCCTTAATAGTAGCCTTCGATAGCTTCAACTGCTTTCATAACCTGAAATATCCCATCACAGAACTTATAAAAATCAGAAGCTGATACATTAACCGATTTCACAATTTGGTTCAAAATAATCGAATGACAAAACATTGTCTTTCATAAAAAAAATGTACACAGTTAAAAATTCATATAAAAAAATATACAGAAAATAAAAAATGGAAAGTAAGGAGGGCAGAGTTATGAAATCACTGTCGATCTTGGTAAGCTATGGTGGTTGTGTAGCTTTCAAGACCCTTAGTATCTGAGCCATCATAACAGAACATTGTTACTCGGTGTTGTTTAATCAGCCTTTTCTCCTGTTTTTTGCTTCACACTTCCTTCAATTGATTGCCTTGGAACCACTTGTTCTCTAGTTACCCATTTTACCCAAGCATAAGACCTAAGTTTCACAATAAAATTTTCCCCAGAAGAAAAACAGAAATTCAGTTTAAAATTAAGAGATTTATATCTTCTTATTCCCAAAATACACCAGTCCTAAGTAAAATTTAAGACACAAAATTTTTTTAAGTGTACTGAATTTCAAAAGCATATGTAATTCACCCATGAGCTCCGTTCAATTTGGTGAGCACAAACTGTAAAACATTACATTACAAGAAATTAACATTCAATGAACTGGGAAAAAAAAAGAACTTTCCAATGTAGTTCGGTAGTTAGTATACATAAAGAATACGATTAGACCATAGAGATAACCTAATATAAAGCAATATTCACGCCAAAAGAAAGGGAAAGGAGTCGGGATGTTTAAGGATTGGAAGGCGCGTAACTTTAGCTTCTGCTGCCGTTACTGCCATTACTTTCACCGAATGAGAAATTTAGGACTGATGGGCAACCTGAACAAAGACAAGCAGGAAAAACACAGTAGTTAACAAATGGCAAACACAAAAGATGGCAGCCTAAGCAAAACCAAAAGCAACAAAACACATATCAGAAAACACACGCATATATACAAACCAAGTGCTGTGAATTAACCAAGGCAGGAAAACAAACAGAAGAAGTCAGAGTAAACTTACGGCCGCATAGAAATTAGCATCAGAACCCTGAAGAACACCCAAACAAGCCCACCCAGTGTAAAAATCCTGGAAAAAAGAGAAGATGAATCTATCAGAAGCCCAAAAGTAATCAAACAGTCATGAGATGTGAAAATAAGGGAACCAACCAGGAGAAATCCTGTGGTGATTGCAATGGATTAATCGAAATCTTGGACCCGGTAGTTGAAAGGGAAGCAGCTAAAAGAGGCGAAAGAAATAACGAAAAATGATTTCTGGAAGAGGAAAAGTAACAAGAGTTCTATGATCTCTACATTAAATGATTAATTTTTTTTTTAAAAAAAAAGATGAAAATGTCATAAATTTGGTCACCAGATGCACTTTTACTTCCAAATAAAGCTGAAGAAAACGTACTATCAGGATGTACTTATCACATCATTCTGATGCATCCAACTCTTCGCCTGAAATCCCTTCTGAACCAATAGACCAACTCCAGTTTGATTGAAATAAGCATTGTATGTTGATAGCTCTCCAGTGTCAGCTTCCATGCTCCCCCCTCCCCCTCCCCCAATTTATTCTTCCTCCATATCACACTTTGCAGGCCTGCTACTAGCCATTTTCAGTTCAGCAATCAGCATGCTACACGAAAGGAAAAAAAAGTTTTGGTAATTGATTTACTAAATACATATCAAGAATGCAGATTAAAAAACTACCAAAACTTCCCTGAAGATGAACAAGCTAAATTGTTACCTTCCTTTCTGCAGTCTGAGTAGGAGAAGATGAAAACCTTATGTTTGAGAAACTTGGGGAGAACCAACTATTTATGAAGCCTCCATCAAAGCTAATGATATCTAATGAGCTTAATAAAGATCATTGATAATTGCCTTCATCTTCAAACCCTGTCTGGTCAATGAAAATAACTTCTGTCTAGTAAGAAATGAAACAACAAACGATGCTGTCCTTTGTCCAATAACATAAGCTATGCCTCCTAAGACTCTGGAAAGCATCACAATGGTACATTTCAGTATGCCTCCAATTATAATAAACAATGAAAGCAAAGAAAAGTTATGGTCTGGTAACTAGTCAAGAAAATCGGAAAAGACCAGATTCTGTCACAATCAAAAGACATGTTTAGCACCAAGTAAATATAAAAATCTTAAAGAGCAAAAGATAAGCTGTAGGCATAGGGTAAAAGTTCACAAACAGATAAAAGTACAGGAAAATGCCCTGTTTTTAGGCCAATTACATCACCCAAGCATACTAAAAAGCAAACTTGCACCAATTCCTTGTACTTTTACTAAATTGGATGGAGGTAAGAAAAGAGTTCTTGGGGAGAGAAATGCTGCATTATCACTTTTCTGCACAACATACCTCCTGACCTCTTCTTTTTCTTCAACAACGATGGGAAACACCATGAAGCTGATGTTTGAGCACCATGAATGCTTTTTCATTCATCGTCCCTGCCTGCTAGTTCATTGTCGTCGATTCTTCTTCTTCGCTCTCACTGCTTGCCTGCATGGTAATTGTGACGTATAAACTTCTGAAACTTGTGAAACATGACAAACAACCATCCAAAATTATTGTAACTTGAACATCAAATTGTATCTTGATTTTTCTTCGCAAATGTTTCTTGATTAGCTTTAATGTTGTCCATTCAGACTGGCAATATCGGTGATAGAAAAATGATGAATGCTCCCATGCACATCTAGCATTGCACATGCAATGGAACATTTGCTAACACATTCAAACAAAGAGGCTAATTGTGTATGCATCGTTGCTAATATTGAGTTTTTAAGATGTTCAAAATCTTTCAATGGCGAGATGCAGAGAAAATCCAGAATTTTGGCCTCTTCCAATTTGCTCAAAACCAGGTTTTGTTATAACTAATCTTTGAAGAGAAACCAAGGTCTGCCCAAAAGAAGAGAATTAATTATGGAGAATAACTTTGCAGAAAAGAGATGGAGAAAAAGAGTACAAGAGACTGAAGAGGAAATATATGTCAATGAGATGCAGATACAAAAAATTTATACACATATATATGAGTGTGAACTTTAGATAGGAAAATCTCACCGGATCACTTGAAATCTCCTCCTCCAAGTAGATGCCTCTTTGGGAGTGTATCGTTGTCTTAATAGAGGACAATCAAGGACGTCGACACAAGTTAACTTGGTGAGGCGTCTCATGGCGGCCTCGGTGGTAAAGACTGAAGCTTGTCGCAATCCCATAGCTCTAGGGTTTCAAGGGACACAAGGTTTCCAATCCAATCCGGTAGCACTCTTATTCCTCCAAAGTTGTGAAGAGTTAGTGAAGTGAGGGTAGTCAAGTATTGAAGCTGGTGTGGCAGGGACTCCGTGTGAGGCAACCCTCGTAAGCGAAGCTCACGGAGTGTTGATGCAGATCTTAAACCAGACCAATCAAAATCATCGACTGAGGAATCATCTGAGGAGAAGGGACTGTTGATCCTCAATTCTCTTAAGCTGGTGGCAAAAGCAAATCCTTTGAAACTATGAGGGATCAATTTGGGACAGTTGTCTAAGATGAATCGCTCGAGAGATGGCGTCTCCTGCAAATTAAGCGAAAATGATACCAGATTGGGGCAACACTCCACCGACAGGGACCGCAGAGACCGGCATGACTGGAACATTTTGTCGGATATAGCGGTCAACCCATCGCACTCAACAATACTCAATTTCACGAGGCATGGTAGGGGGCATTTCTGTCCATTTACTCCTAGACTGATTAATCTTGGGCACCCGACGATGGTCAAATGCTGCAAACTCGATCCAAACAGATCCAGATCTGGCAGCTCCCTAAGATTGTCGCAATATCCGATACTCAACTGCTCAATAGAAGCAGTGCCGTAACCCATTTTTATACTTGTTAGATTACCGCAATTCCCCACGTCTAGAATTTTGCACGAGCATGGAAGAGCGGTCAGCTGGGGGCAACCTTCAATGCTCAAATTCCTCAGCATGGGAAAGACATCTGCTACTGTTGACCTCACTTGGTCTGCATCCTTCCACTCTACCAAATTCTCCATATATTCTACATAGAGTACTTCAAGGGCAGGAAAGAATTTTCGCCTTCTACTGATGCTCCCTGATGCTCGTGATCTGCCCTCCTCCTCCTCCTCCTCCTCATTAGCAGTAATACCGTAGAATTCATCTCCAATAAATCGAATGTTGTCCAATCCCTCCAAATAGAGAATTTTGAGGGATGGCAGTTGTCCTAATGAGGGGAGTTCACTGCATCTCTTGCACTTTTGTATCCGTAATGTCTCCAATTTTGACAAATTCATAAACCATTGCGGAAATTTATTACCCATAAAATATCGAATTTCCAACCTTTGCAAATTTGGGTGAGGTTGGAGACCTTCCAACACATCCTCATCACGGTTATCGCTTTCCCGATCCCCACTCTCCCATTTAAACACCAAGCGAGACAGATCTGGCTTTTCGAACAATTTTGCTTGTTTAGCTGCTTCTTTGCCCTTCACTAGTCCAAGATTTCTTATCTCCAACGATCCTTTCAGATATTTCAAGGTCCCAAGCTCTTCGATACCACGACCCTTCTCCTGACTTACATTAAAGAACCGTAGAGTTTGAAGACAAGTCAATCGTCCCATTTGCGCCGGCATTTTCAATTTTGCATCATCATGGTAGTAGTTTAGATGTCGCAAGCTGATCAAATCGCTCATCCGTTTTGGAAAACCTCCTTCAAGTGCATAATCTCTCATTGTTAGTGTCTGCAGATTATATAGCTTGCAAAGAGATTCCGGCAAACTTCTGATTCCAGAATATGAAATGTCGAGCAACCGCAAATGTAGTAGTTTGCCAATGGAGCTCGGCAGAAACTTGACATCATCGCCATACAATCTGAGAACATGCAAGCACTTGAATCTTAAAAGCATGTCAGTAGATACGCCACCCTCTAGATGGAGAAATAATGTGTGAATTGATGCTGGTATTGTCCTTGTGGTATTTTCTGCCAAACCTTTAGAAGAGTCCAATGCAAGGTAGCCATCCTGGCTGCTGCCTTTAGGATTGAGAATTGATTTTGCAAAATCATGCACGAGATCATGCATTTTATAATATGTTCTCCAATACTCTTCTACTTTTTCCAGTAAGGAATTTTGTAACAAAATCCTCAAATAATCGCCCCCTATTTCCTCCATCAATCTTTGGTTTTGGCGATCTGGTTGAACAAAACCTTCCGCCATCCAAAGCTCAATTAATAGATCTTGTTTCAATTCTGTATCCTTGGGGAAAATTGAACAATATGCAAAACATTTTTTAACTGATGCAGGTGACAAATGATCAAAACTCACCTTAAGTATTTGATCAATCTCACTTTGACATTCATCCAAAAGACTCTCCTGCACAATGGAGTGCCACTTCTCTCTTCTGTTGTTAAGCAACAAGCCACCAATCAAACTTGCCGCCAAGGGTAGGCCATCGCATCTCCCTAAAATTTGCTTCTTCAATGCTTCCAATTCTTCTGGTACTTCTTCCCCTGCACTCATCACCTTTCCTTTTATGATGGACCAGCACTCATCACCTGATAGCTTTCCTAAGAAATAAGGACCGCTATTCATCTTCAAATGTGTACATACAACATCAGCCACTGGTTTCAACCGAGTAGTGAGAAGACACCAGCTTCCTTTGGTTTCGTTGAGTCCCATCAAAGTGTTGAAATAATCACTCCACAATCCTTGATCATGATTCCACACATCATCAAGAACAAGGAAATATTTTTTTCCCTTCAGCTTTTCTCCAATTTCTTTAACGATAACCTCTCTGTTATCCACTTTAACTTCTTCTCGTGTCAATTGTACCAAAATGAGCTTGAACAGCTCCATTATCTTAATGTGTTCTTTAGCCACACAAACCCAAATTTTTTGGCCAAAGTGCCCATCTATTTTTGGATTATTGTAGACTGATTTCGCCAGAGTTGTCTTTCCCAAACCTCCCGGGCCTGTTATGGAATAACAGAAAGAACCTTTTCAGAGGGGCTCGATAACATGTCCACAATCTTTGATTCATCGTCGACTCTTCCAACATTTGGAACACGAATAGAGTCGGTTTGTCGGCTTGCTGTGGCTCCAGAAGCAGCAGGGAGTGAGGCTTCAATATGGAACTGGGAGACCACTCCAAAGTTATTTGCTTCCTGATTGATCCTTTCTAGGTTCCTGTTGATCTCCCTGATCTTTGAAGCCAACCTTGAACGAGAACCAATTGTATTAAAGTACGAGAAGAAGAAGCATACCTTCTTCTTGAGTTTATTTCTATACTTCACCTCCCGACGTAGAGTTTCATAGTTGAGTTCGTCCAGCACATTCTCCACTTCAAAAAGCTCTCCTTCAAGCTGCTTGAGCCAATTTTTCATCCCTGGGATATGCATTTTCCCATCGGCATGAGCCAGGATACCTCGGATGGTTTCAGCAGTGTTGCATATTCTCTTCAACTCCTCTCTGAATCCAAGAACCAAACTAACACGATCAGCGGAAAGGGAAATAACCGTCTCCAATGCAACCTGAATAGTAGCGCTAATAGCTGTATCGGCCATTTTTTTCTTGCTTGGGATTGAAATTAGAAGAAAAGTATTCTAGTATCAATTAAGGTGGTGATCAGGATGATTTTTGGAATGAGTAAGAAGGAATTGTTCAGCTTCAGCAGCTAAAAGCAGAAATGTTTGGAGAAGAAAAGAATTTGAATTGCTTCTAAGATAGGACTTCGAGTGCTAGTGCTTTATTCTACAGTGGGAGCCTCAAGCATTGGAAAATTAAACTAAACTGTTGTAATAATTAGTTACAAAGAAACTAAACTATAGCAATAATCCTATTAGGTAGAGAAACTTTTCTTACAAACAAACAGGGAATCTTCTTTTTGGACCAGCTACCTTGCTTCTTGGCTGGTTAAGAATAGAGACATAAAGTGGATGGTTTATAGGTTTGTGTCTCAAATTACTTGAACGTATATTTCTGAAGAGAACAATCATCAAGGAATTGTAAGATAATCATCAGTAATTTGTTTCTTTTGTAAAATTGTTCAGAATTGATCCATTTAAACTTCACAAAACCAAGGATTTTGTGTCCATTCTCATGGGGAATTGGTGTCACATTTTTTTTATGAAACATGAAAAACACTTCCATAGGATGGTTATATATGCCTTTGTGCCCCAAGAATCGGACCTGTGATGTCGAATTACTTGAACTTTTATTTTTGAAAAAAAAAATAAGAATCAATGAAATCTTGAGATTGAAGTACTTTGATTAAATTGTAAAATTCTTCAGAAGCGAGCCATTTAGACTTTAAACAACCAAGGATGTTGAGCTCACTTTCATGCGTGGGGGATTGGTAATAAAATATTGTCGCTCTTTTAATAATAAAAAGCCCGATTTTTTTACAACAATAATAAAAAAAGGGCAAATTACATTTTATCCCCCTGTGGTTTACCCTTTTTTACATAACCCCCTATGGTTTCAAAAGCTATACATAACCCCCTCATAGTTTGGATTAAAGTGTCAAAGTGACGGAAATAGTCACTCGTAACGGAACTTCTAAAAATGTCGAAATTACCCTTATAAATACATGACACATTAACCCCGTATGCTTATTATATTTTACCATATAACCCTCTTATGGTTTAGTACTTTACCATATAACCCCCTTATGATTTTCAAAATATACACATAACCCCCTTGGTTAATAAATAATTTTTAACTTTACATAAGGGTAATTTTGACATTTTAGGTGACGCCATTACGAATGATAATTTCCGTCACTTTGACACTTTAATCCAAATCATAAGGGGGTTATGTATGGCTTTTGAAACCACTAGAGGGTTATGTGAAAAAAAGCTAAACCGCAAGGGGGTAAAGTGGAATTTACCCTAAAAAAAATAACTTGGTAAAGAATAACTTGAATGATGACTGTGCTTCAATTACAGATTTCTTGTTTTTTGTTAAAATGTTCTACGAATGAAGTTTGAACAGAAAAAAAAAAACTTGGAACATTGAATTTGTCGCATCTCATTGTTTTTTTTAATCAAATGACAACAAATTATTAGGCATAATTGCTTGAGACAAATTACGGAAAATATTAACCATAATGTGACCCTTATTTACATATTCATTACAACACAAACCTGTGCTTAATTAAAATATTGTGCAGTTGTTGCATTGAAGGTGTAGACTCACCATAATGACTGAGACAGTTCATATGCATACATACGTTTTATTGACAAGAAATAACAAAAATGGTGTGATGGATTTACAAAAGCCCTCAATCCGTGTGCAGAAGTGCAGCGCCTGGTTGGCAAAGTTGGATGCTTTTGCCACTGAGGTTTCTTTGCATTTTCACCTGAATTTTCTTAATCCGTGTTGTTGATGGGGCCTTCATCTTTACTGATTGAATGCCCGAACCCTTTAATCTGAATATATCTGAATGACTGTTGGAAAAGTGGTGTAACTTAAAGTTCCATCCAGGAGGGACAATAAACGATGATCACAATCAAATTGGAAAAAAGAGTAAAATGCTTTTCCAGAGTTCTACATTGCCCAATTAGTGCTTTATAATTAACAGTTATTTTGGATCTTCTATGTGCAGAAATATCTTTTGGATGATCACCTTCGTGTCTCATACTTCTTGAAACTAGTTTAGAAATATTAATACTCTTTTCGTGACACTTAGTCTAATAATAATTAGCTTTTAGCTTATAAAATACTTTAGTAGTCTAGTGTTATTACAAGAAAGGAAATTTTCCTTGGGAGAAGAAAGAAAAAGCCATACGAAGTATTCAATAGTGCAGTCATTTTTATTTATAAAAAACAGGTGAAGCACATCCATAGGATGGTTATATATGTCTGTGTCCCAAGAGTATGACCTGTGATGTCAAATTTCTTGAACTTCTATTTTTTTTTTTTGGAAAAGAAAATAAGAATCAATGAATCTTGAAATTGAAGTACTTTGATTAAATTGTAAAATTCCTCAGAAGTCAGCCTTTTAGACTTACATAACCAAAGATGTTGAGCTCTCTTTCATGCTCTGGGGATTGGTAATGGCATATTGTCACTCTTTTAATAATAAAAAACATGATGAGTGAAGTTTGGTGAAGAATAACTCGAATGATGAATGTGCTTCAATCTTATCAGAAAAGGGGCTTGAAAAATTACATACTTCTTGTTACATATCTTTTTTTTTTTTTTTTTTGTCAAATGACAACAAACTATTAGGCATAATTGCTTGAGACAAATTGTGGGAAAGATTACTCATAATGTGAATCTTATTTACATGTTCATGACAACACAAACTCGTGCTTAAATTGTACATTTGTTTGAAGTTCATGTCAATGCATGTTTACTACCCCAAAATTCTAATATTAACAAGTAATAACCAGAATCGTGTGACGGATTATAAAAGCCCTCAATCTCTGTGCAGAAGTGCAGTGCTTCGTTGGTAAAGTTGGATGCTTTTGCCACTGAGGTTTCTTTGCATTTTCACCTGAATTTTCTTAATCAGTGCCTTCATCTTTACTGATTGAATACAAAGCTTAATGGTCCATATTATTAGTTCCATTATTTGCACATGCTAATTACAACACAAATCCATGCTGGATTGTACATTGGATGCATTCAAGGTGTACAACCACCCTAATCACATGAGGTATTTATGCTTACATTAACATCCCCGTGGTCCAACTCAACTTCGACTACTATGTTTCGGTACAAGAAATGATGATAATTATGTGACAAATAAGAAGCTCCCAATCAGTGTAGTGCTGGGCTTCGATTCAGTGGGAAATTAAATGCTTTTGCAATGGAAGTTGCTTGGCATTTTTGCCTGAGCTTTCTTCAATTCAGGGTGGCTTTACAAAGGATCGCCCAGGGGCAGTTACTTCATCTCGTTAGAAACGAGAGACCAAAAGGTTCTCCATTATTGTCAATGTATTACTTATTTTGCTAGTTGGCTGGTTTTGCACATAGAATTATCTTGTGGATGATGGAGTATCATGACTATTTTGTACTATATTTGGATAATATTTTATTCCACTTTTAGTCACTTTGGCAATATTATAGGAAGAAAATGGATTATTTTGGCTATAATTAGTTTGAAATGCTCTTAAGTGTTTAAATGAGATTTATGTCCTTTTTACTTGCATTTTGTCCATAATTTTTTTATAGGAATTAGAAATAGACTTTATTTGGATGAAAAAGGAAAGTTGACAGATTTGACACATTTTTATATTTTGGCTATAACTTGAGCTACAATAATCGGATTGAGATGATTCTTGAACTGGTTTGAAGATAAGAGATAGATCTACAATTCTTGTGAAGACATCGAAATCCATTTTTAAGGTTTTCCTGGTCAAAAAGCCAAATTACAATAGTCAATTTCTATGGTTGAAATTGAAACAAGGCATTGAGCAGTCAAGGGCATTTCCATCATTTTCCAGCCTACACAAATCCAAATGAGGTGATTCTTGATGCATTGGAAAGTTAACTCAAAGGGATACAAGTTTTATATTTTATGTTTTGGTCACGAGTTAATTCAGCCTCTATCATCAAGAAAAGTTTAGTTGAAGTTTATGCAAAATTGGAATAACATTGAAGACTGAATAGAAATTGAGAAGTAAAGCAGGGAAGCAATCCAGCCGACAATCCGGCTAGTTTCTAGACTGATTATTGGCTGGATTTTGGTCAGAAATAGCTGCTCTCCACTTGCACAACTTGTTTTCTCCTCTAATAATTCACAGCTATTGATGGACGTGTGACAACTATTTTGCAGCTGTAAAAGTGATGTTTGAAGCCTCAGTTCTTGACTAAATTCATCTATAAATAGCCATGGAGTTGCAAGATTCAAGAGAGTTTGGAGAGTGCAAGAAATACCACTAAAATGTAGTTCTTACATTTTTTTAGTGTTAGGTTAGTATAGTATAGGATAGTTTAATTAGTTAGTCCATCCTTTTTGTTTATTAGCTAGGCAAAGATGAAGAAGGAGATGAAAACGGAGGCGATAAACTCATGTGACAAGGTTACATTTCTTTTTCTATTGTTTAGTTAATATACAAGTTTGGATTCTATGTTTATTATGTGTTTTTAAAGTTTATGCCTTTGGTTTGGTTGAACTTTCTATGATTGTTAATGTTTATTATTTGACTATTTGATGATATTATTTTGAGCAAGTTATTTATCACTTTTTGCTTCTCTAATCATGATTAGCCAATCATTAATTATGATAATTTTAAAGTTTTAAGTTTGCAATGAAAGTTGAGATTTAATACTAGTTCAAGAAAGTGATAAATATAGGGAATATACTCACAAAAGTAGAGGTGCACTTTTGTGGCTTTAGTGACTTATTTCATGTAATTTCATAGAAGAAATGAAACTGTAGTTAGTTTCATAACCACGAAAGTAGGTATGAATTAATTATAGGTATAGTTGGTACACTGGCGAAAGCGGATATCACGTATATTAGGAAATTACATCATAACTAGCCAAGATAATACCATTCAATTAACCGGTAATTTCACTTGCATGGATAGTTAGGGATATCATAACCTAAGAA